GGGCCCGCGGCGCGGGGAGGGGGGGACACACACAGGACACAGGGGGCAGCTCCCTCCCGGGGAAGCACGATGCCGTGCCGAAGGCTGCGTCTGCAGGACCAACGCTCTGGTTTAGGGGTGCCCCTGCCCGCTGGTGTCCGTGACAGGGGCACGGGGACAAGCGCTTAAAAGCCGCCTGCAGTCACCGTACAGGCGACCTGGAGTCTCCAGGCAGCAGTGATAAAGAAGATGATCAAAGCTGGTCATCTCACCTTAGAGCCAGCCAAAACCAGGCTTGTCACTGACAGCCGCGCTGCTTGCCCACCTAAAAGCACATCTGTAGAGCTGCCCATCCCAGAGGGGTCTTTTGCTTTTCGCTTGCCGAGTGTCCATCACTAAGACAAGCAACACGTGTTACACCTGATGAGGTTCTCGATTTAAAGATCTGCTGTGGATCTGGTCTAGCACCCAGTTCTTTGCAAAGAACGATGTCTGTGTTTCTGAGTGACCCACCTGGAGCTCAGTGTTACTTGGATGGGGTTTCCGTGGTTTTGGACAGGCTCCTGAGGCACATGAAAAGCACCCAGAGGCCATGTTACAACGGATCAACACAGCAGGCTTGATACGAAATCTTGCCAACTGTCACTTCTGGCAAGCAAAACTGTCTCCCTAGGTGCACAACTTTTCCATTGTGACTGAAAACAGATCCAGACTGGGTCTCTGCAGTTGCAGATGCTCTGCCACCAAAAGAAATCCCAGACAATTTTTTCTGTCTCCTACACTGTGGTTTGCAGAGTTGTTCCCTAAGTAGGCTTTGGGCATGGGCCCATTAAAAATGTTACTTTGCAGTTTCTTAGGGATGGATGCTGTGCAAGATCAAGTCTTTGTTGGCTTCAGCTGTAGGTGCTGGTGCCTCACTGAATTGGAAGCTATGTTTGCTGAAATTTAAGGAGACGATATGGGGAAGGGCTGTGTACTTGCCTGAAAAGTACCAACAAAAGCTAAGAGCATATGTTCTTCCTGGTCGTATGAATTTCCTCGTGTTGCCCCATCTCACACAAGTCTGGCACTTGAAAACTGGGGAGAGAGGTGTCGTAAAAATCTGAAAAACTTGAAATCTGAGGAGGAGAGGGGTCATAGGTAGCACGAGATGTCCTAAAAGCTCATGACGTGTTATGTCACCAGAGCTCTAAGCACACAGAGTGGTGGTGGGGGAACAGGGACACGCTGCGTGTACTAGGGAAACTGTGGCAGCTTGGCCAAGTTCTAGATCCAGGTTGTACAAAGATTGGATAAAGCCAGTTTGTTCCCTTTTCTTTCTCATAATTTCCTGCACTGTGTTTACCACTGGCATTATCCAAATAATTCAAATAGAATGATCTAAGAATGAGCAATAGGTAGGCAAGTCCTTTAACCTCTTATTTGCTATGGGAAGATGTTGCAATTGGAAGCAGCATCCATCTCAGTTTTGGTTCTTAGTCATGGTGTTTTTCTTCCAAAAATATTGAAAAGATCCTTTGTTTTTGTGCTGTGGCAGATAGTGAGGATGACTGCACTGCATTGGGAGGGGGTTTGATAAAAAAAAGTGTCTGGACTGTTGGAATTTGGGTTATATTGAATATTCATTGTTCACAGTCCAGTTTTTGCAGCTGAACTCTTGTTTAATAGGAAAAAACCCCAGTCCAACTAAGAAACTAATACACTAGTCAGGTTCAAATGTAGTTGACAATTCACTGGTCTAATTGTCAGTTTTTCTGAAGTTATTCAGACACATTGTTTTTCCCTTTATTCTGTGCTGAGTACTGCGTAGGAGTAAGGGGTCAGAGATGAAAAGGAAAAGAACTAAGACAGGAACTTGGAATCAAATACTCATTTGAAGAATGCAAAGATGCGTGACCAGGATAGCAGTGAATCAGAGGCATAAACTCATTTTTATTTTGCTTTTGCAGAGTATGAAACACTTACAATGCTTAGAAGTTTAAATCATAATTACAGTAGTAGGAGGGGCTGCTGTCAACTGGTGAGACTTCTTTGCATATAGTGGAGGGAAACTGATTTATTCTAGTAAGGAATCGGGCCTGATAGATCTAAAAAGAACATAATTAACAGATGCTAACAAGCTAATTATATGGAGAGATAAAGACATTGTGAGAGCTTCAACTATTAGGTGCAGGCTATTTTCCAGCCTTATTTTCTTAAAATCATAAATGTTGAGTGCAGATTTAAGATGTTATTATCCCAAAATGGAAATCAGGTGTTTCCAGGAGCCATGAACTTCAAAAGGAGACTTTATGTGGAGTCTGGGGTGCTTTAGATCAGTTCCCAAGGCCTGTCTGATCTCACCCACCTAGGTGTTGCACTGGCCTGATCTCACTTACTTGAGTAGATCTGCCCTTTCATTTTATGCAGGAGGAAAATCTGTGAGAGGCATCAGGCCGCACAGTCTGAAAAGCACCAGTCTGGGTTGCCAGACAGGGCGCTGTGGCCCTCCACCAGATCAAAGACCGTGCCAATGACCACAGAACAGCAAAAAGGACTTCAGGTGTCTGCACACCGCTGGAAAAACGAACACAGGCACATTCAGAAGTCATACAGATGCAGAGAATAAAATCTGGGGTGGAAATGTGGACATTTCCTCAGCCCCATGAACCTTATTCAACATGTGTGTCAAAGAGCTTCAAATCCCAAACTTTCATCCTGTTGCGTGTCACAGCCCAGCATCCCCATGGCTCAACTCAGTCACGTCCTGCGGTGGTACTGTACAGCAGCTCTGCCTCTTCGGGTCGTTTAGCTCTCATTCAATGGCTGCCTGCTTTTTTTCTGTTTAGCGAGTCATGAAAACCTCAATAAAATCACATAGTTTGCATGGGGGAATGGAGTGTGGGGAGATGTGTGGCAGGGTGGATTTTCCTCTGAAGTTAAAATGTGCTGGGCTTGATTTTTTTTTTCTTTTTTTTTCTGCTGTATTGGAAAAAAAAAATCCTCTTTTTACTGGAGAGATTTGCTGCTTGCACAATGTTTCCAGGAAATCCATATAGGCCCATGCCAATGTTTATTACTTGTAGAAGAAATGGAATAAGCAGATGAAGATTTTTAAAAAGGGATGTAAAGCCAAAATTGATGTGAGGAGTTAGGCTATTTAATGATCTCTCCCCACAATGCCTAGAATAGTTTATCAGCTAATCCTCCCTGTCTCCAGTGCATCAGGAGCTGATACTGTAGGGATGTCTGGAGTCCTCAGTGGTTTCTGTTATGCCATGAGTTTGCCTTGTCCTTGGGAGACTGCAGGAGGGTGGAAGATGCTAATCTCAAAATGCAGGCTGGTCTCCATAGGTTCTGGACCTCCAGAAGTTGGGATTATGTGCTGAGGGGGAGAGAATGGTGGTGTCCCAGGCGGTGGGTGTCTCCGTGAATGAGTGCCATGAGTGACCCTGGAGAGGGTGCTGAGGGGGGAGGACAGCTGTGACTGTAGGTGTCTTTGCGTGTCTTCAGGTAGACAATGACCGCAGGGATCTGGATATGAACAGCGAAGATGTTGATGCTAAGAAGATGATACGTTTCATTCGGATGAATGAGCTTCGCCTGGTGACAGAGTACAACCCTGTGGTAATTACCAGCTCCCTGCAGCCCTCACCCTAGCACTTGGCCTCCTCCTGATGGGCGTCCTCTGGCCCAAGAGTTTGCACACCCAGATGTGTGTGATGGTTGCGGCAATGGTGTGGATGGGGTTGGGGAAGCCACGTGGCTTTTAGCTGCTACTCCACATGGGGGCTGGAAGCAGATGCTGTGCTGAGGTGTGCGAGTAGGGTGGAGAGAGGAAGCGAGGCATGGAGGTTCCTTTAGCTTTCCAGTAAATTTGGCGTGTTGGTGGGTAGAGAGCTCCATTTCTTTCCGCTCCTGCCAGCAGTGCTGCTTCCTCCCATGGGCATTTGCCACGTTGTGCCATGCCTGCAGACCCTGGTCAGCCAGGATCCCCTGTCTTTGTTTGAGAAGGCTTGAGAATCATAGAAACTCGAGTGACCTACTCCCAGAAGACAGGCTTTTCTTCATACCCCAGTATATAGGGCTTGACCTAAGCCTGGGCTATTTGAAGGCATATTCAAGAGCCGGTTTGAAACTTTCCAAGCAAAATTTTTCCCATCCTTTCTATCCCTTACTGCAGAATTCACCAGTTCAACAACACAAATCAGACATAGGATGCTTCCATGTTGGCCATCTTCATTAGCTCACCCATCCGACTGCCAGTGGTAGGGTCTCAGTGCTCCTTCTCGCTATAGAAGCTGACCAAGGCTTTAGGCTGCTCTGAAATCTCAGCAGTTCACTGTGCTCATTGCTGTGGAGTCCATAGGTCTTAGAAGCCCCAATGGCCGCAAGGCTGAGACTTTATCATTGCTGATGGGGTCTTTTGCAGACTTTTGGATAGCTACAACAGTGCTGACCAGGCTTGATTTAATCATAGGAGAATGGCCCAACCTGTTTCAAAACTACATCTTTTCAAGCCGATGCCAAGGATCTGTTAAGAGGGCTGACACATTCCCCAGCTCAGGTGCAGCCCACCAGTAGAGAGAGCATTTTGTTTCAGAAACGCAACATTTTGTTTGCAGAATGAAATGCTGTAGAAGTTCTCTTCTTACCTTAAAAAAAAAAAAAAAAGTGGATTTGTTTGTTGATCTTGATAAGGGATATGAAAAATGCGTTTCAAAATCGCAGAATATATCTGCGGACAGAAAAGCTATATCCTGCCCCACTGTCCTCACATCCCTTTGAGAACACCCAAGTCATGTCAACGGGGATGTTCTTGTTATCTTTATAATTGCTCAGGCCTTCTGAACCCTTGGCGCCTCCACTGCATCCTCTAGAAATTCATTAGATCATGGCTCTTTCTTCATGTTTTTCTGCTGATGCTTTGGGCTCTTGCTCCACGGCGTCCTGTCCAGCACCCAGGCTGTCTCTCAGACTGAGAAGTCAAGCTGTTCAGCTGGTCCCCTCCACCCTGACTGGCAGTACACATGTTGTTCCAGGTTTTTTTGCAGACACTCTGGAGTCCTACCAAGGTGCTGCAATTAACAGTGCCTCCTGCAGTCTCCAGCCCAAAGCCCTTCCAGGTCTGCTAGTGTAGCTTGGTTTTTTGTAAATATTTATTCCCAGTGCATATGTTGTTTACATCTAAGAATGCTGCTGGTCAGCAGAGGCTGGGGTCACGCGGATCACACTGAGTGCTGCCAAGAGTTTCTCTCCCCATCCTGGGGCCCTTACTGTTGCTCCCACATACTTTAGGCATTTTTCGTCAATGCTTACCCTGTGGGCTTTCCAGGAGAGTCAGAGGTGACCCGGCCATGTTAATGAGCATTGCTGATTGCTGTTGCACAAGGTTGCATGGACAGGCACACCTTTGTGTGGAGCTGCCGGAGGGACTGCTGCTCCAGAGCTGCCCACTCTCAGCCCAGCCTTGTCTTGGCCCTTGGTGCTGGCAGGCTTCACCCTCACCTTCAGCCCTGTCCTCTCCCATGAGGTCTTCTAATGCTCTCCATCCTCAGTTTGCATGCCCTCTAATCTCCCCTGCCCCATCTACACACCCTAGAGAACTGAAGGGATACAGACTGTCTGATAAACACTAGGCTAATGGCAGAATCCTGGCTGCCAAAAACTAGATGCTTTGCAGTGCGTGGCCCTTGCCAGCATGCACTCCCTGACCCCTTCCTTATTACTCGTGGAGCGTGTGGAAACTTCCTTCTCCCGCTGGCGGGGAGCCACACAGTCTGTGCCTCTGTGGTTTTGGTGGCACGGGGGAGGCAGGAGGTCTGGCCCGGCTGCTGTTTAGTTTGAGGGAGAGGCTGCAGGGCTGCGGGAAGCGGGCGGGAGGAGAAGCGAGATGACGAGTGAGTGGGTGAGAGCCTGGAGATGGTGCTGGGGCTGCTTGGGCAGTGCCAGCCCTGCCTCCTCACAAAGGGCCAGTGTGTGCTGCTCACTTTGCTCTTGCTCAGGGGGCGAGGGACAGCCAGCTCCAGGTCTTCTCCCACTGCAGGACTGCAGAAGCAATTTTAACCCTCAGCATGCTGGGATGCCCAGGCCATGGGGTTGCTGAAATGGGGCTGTGGACTCATCCCCATCCTACACACAGCTTAATGCTGAAGGAAGGAAACAAGGGGAGACACCAACCCTAACACCACAAATCCTTTCCACTTTCTTGCTCCCATTTCGTCCGGGTGCTGGACCTCAGTGATTCAGGGCACCCTTATGCTCAGTGTTTGCTGGCCTTCCCTCTCCATTTCCTTGGCCCTCTAGACTTCAGCTTGCGGTATCCAGACAGTCCCCTCACCTAGTCACTGACTATCCCGAGGCAAGTGATGAACCCTTGTGGTCTTCAGAATCTCCTCTCGGGAAGAAGCAAAACCAGGAGGTTAAGTGCTTCCACAAATAACGCAGACTGGATCCCTCCTGCTTTAAAGAAAGCTGTCCTGCTTGTGAGGCCGATTTGCAAAGAAGTCTCAGCTGAGACATGAGGATTGATGTCCCTCTGGCAGTGCATCCTATGCAGATTGAATGTTCTTAAACTCTTTGTCTGTGTGCATTTCTCTCTCTGTCTGTGGTGGCTGTGTTTTCGGCAGACAGCAGTAGGTGTGATGCAGAGTTCGCTCCAGTTTAACCTCCTCCTGATCACAGACAAGATGTCGCCAAAGCACCCCGAGCGAATGCGCAAATACCGGGCAGCAGCAGAGCTCTTCAAGGGGAAGGTAAGTCCAAACAGAGAGGAGGGGGAGCCATTAAGGGGGCAAATAAAAGGACAACAGTGATTTCTTCTGTGGATGGGGAGGGCATAATCTCCTCTGTGTATTAGGGGAGCAAAGGCTAAGTGGCAGAAAAAGAGGATTAGCTGGATAATTAAGTGAAGGGGTTGGATGTCTTCACCTTTTGCCAGTTTGCCTCCATGTTGGAGAAATATTCTCTGTATCCTGCTCCTCTCCTCCCTCAGTGGGACATGATGTACTTCCTTGCTTCTGCTCCAATTTTGTTCCCTTGCACTAGGAGATGACCAACAGCTGCTGCACTTCAGTCTCACAATGGTTGCATTCCACTGGTGTGAGAGGTGATTTTGTATATACAGCCTGCAAGATGCCAAGGAGCATTATACAAGTGACCAGACAGTGATTAATGTCGTGGTGCTTCTTAACCTTTAGACTTCTGTTTGGATCCTGGGGACATGGCGATTTTAAAGGAGTTGCACATGGGGTATGTCAGATTTCTCACACTAAGGTGAAAGGATAGATGGGGTCTTTCAGAGAAATTTTGCCTGATTCCCACCCCTCTGTGGGCAGAGCTTCCGAAATAGTAAATCACCCCACGGTGATTGTCTGCCAGCAGCTGGATTACTGGAGAATTTTTGTCTGGGGAGAAGAAACTGGCAAGCAAAGGAGAATTGGGAGCAACAGGATGGCATTTGGGGCAAGAGAGAACAGAAGATGGGAGGGGGCAGAAGGGAAGGCTGAGCTGGGAGGCAGGG